CTGGAGGGAAGTGTCACAGGCTAACACAAACTTCTCTTTGATGCAGACCTACAAAGGAAGCAGAACAGAACCTGCAAGGGCAGCGGTGTTGGCTATAGTGGAAATCACAGCAGGTACGTTGAGAACTGACGGGAAAGTTAGGCGTGGAAAGAGAAGGTTGCAAGATCAGAAGTTAGAAGAGGCCTTAGAGATTGTGGAATCCAGGGGTCCCTAACCTGGAGTCTCAAAGGGTCCGTAGACAGATAGATTTAAGGAGATCTGTGAACTTGGATGGGAAAACTTAGCATCTTTGTTTCAATATAATTGGTTTCCTATGTAATACGATACATTTTATTTCATACATTTAAAAATATTATTCTGAGAAAAGGTCCATAGATTTCATCAGAGTGTCAAGTGGGGATAGGGTGGGGGTCTGTGTTTAGAATTCCTGATCTACTCCAATGAGCCCGCCCCTGTGGTCCCACGCCCTGCTCCCTGATGGTTCCACTATTAAAAGCTTTATAGAAAAGAAAACAGCCTTAGAGAGAGAAAATTACTCGTCCACAGTCACATCAGTAGAAGTAGAATTGAATCTGAACCCAAGACGTTGACACCAGATCCAGTGCATTTTTCAAGAGGTTCCCTTCTGACTCATTGCTTTTGTTTATGATCTGTTCCCTGCCTAGACTGTTAACTCCTCAGGGACAGCCTCTGAGTTTTCACTTCTTTTATCATCTTCTCAGCCCCTAGTACTGTACTCATAAGTGTAACTGATAAATCAGGATTTTTTTTTTCTTTTCCCTGATGTCCTTCTAATTTCCAGTAAGCACTCAGAGAAGGCTTGGCTTGGGCATGGTAGGGCATGAAAGGTGGAAGTGAAGACGGAGATGTCTTGAAAAGAAGAAGCACGGAATAAACATATGAGTGTATTGCCATGAACTTTTGAACGAGGCAGACAATTTTTCGTTTCTTTAGAAGAACATGTCACCAGCCCGAGATCCCTTTGAGGCTCTCTATCCTGTCCATCTGCGTCCTGATCATGGGGACAGGGGTCATCACCACTGCAGTTGTTTTACTCAAGAGGAAGCAAATTCAAAAGCATAATTGGGGTAAGTTGTAAGTAGTGGGGGCAGGAATAGGAGGAAGCAGGAGAAGCCACAAGGGCATCCCTGCTAATGGGTCCCACAGCAAAGGGTTGGCTCCCAGACAAGTGAAGGAAAGCTTCTCTTTAGCAGCCTGGCTCTAGAGACCTGACCAAGCCAGCCTGAGAGCCGGGGAAAATATGCAGGTCCTGGGTATTTAGATGATATTAAAGTTTGCAAAGCGCTCTCTTTGCATATATGAATTCAGTTTGTCTTCACAATGCTGACCAGAGGCCAAAGGCTTTCTCAGCGCAAGAGCTGTGGGAGGAGTTTCTACTCTTGTCTAGAAAGGGCTGGTTGTTCCCTTTAAAAAAAGTTCAGGCCCCATCCAGTGGAGATTAGAGTACTTATTCCTGGTGATACTGAAGGAGTGAAGATTTTCGGGGCCCTTTCATGCCTCCAGCAAACCAGATGGAACTTGGGAGTAGGGGGAGGAGGAAGCAGCTGTAGGCTTTGGCATCCAGAGTTACTGTGTTCTAAAGTTCCCTGTGTCCTTACGCTTCCACAGGTAAGGTCCTGATTAAACTCGGAGATCACAGCCTCGGTTCATCTCCTATGGTACCCGCGCCTCTGGTAAGCCCCCAGATTTGCTGTTCTATTCCAGGCCCCAGCCTGACAGTGGCTCTTTGCATGGGCCTCAGAAGTTTCTCTGTTTCTCAGCAGAGAACTGGTATTAAGGCCTTGACCGCAGTGGGGCCTCTGGGGTGCTTCAGCCAGAAGGTTTGCTTCTGTTTCCAGTCGTTTACCTTTCGATGTGCCCCAGAACTAATTCTGGGCCTCCAGTTAGTACAAAATTCCTGGCGCTTAAGTATCAGAAAGTACTAAGTGTATTTATCTGCTTTTTCCATGTGGACACACAGAGAGAAGGAGCATGGTGGGACAACCAAGAAGGCCTAAGTCATAGCCCAGCTATTTTATCATCACTCACATAAAAATCCTCTTGAGGAAGGGAAGTTTCGTTGTCTAACAGCTCTCGTAGGCTAGCTATGCAATGCTTTTCCTAATACTTCTAGTATTTATGGGGAAGAGGAACAACTTTAGACACAAGTGCTAATTCTAATGCTTGGTAGCTGGTTGCTGGTGGGTGACTAATCCCAATAACCCAGAAATAGCCTGGACTGGATGAAGAGGCTGTAGAATGCAGACATCCACATTTTTCCAGTAATGAACCACATAATCAGAAATCTGTATTTATGCAGCCCACAGAAATGTAATTTTAGAATTAATTACATTCAACTTCAAGGATAATTACTCATTGATTTAACCCTACTACCATCCAGCTACACAGCTATAGTGTTAGACAAGTCATTAGGTCCTGATAGCCTGCTAAATCCTCTGTGCTAGCTAATTTAGTAAATTATTTTTTTAAAAAGTCTTAGGTGACCTGTAACAGCCCAGGGTCAGGTGAGCTGAATTTAGCACACGGCCTACACTACACCTTGGAGGCCTCATCTGTACAAGCTGGGGATATGGGAAGGGGGAGAAGGGGGAGAGAAGCCAGTTAGCCTGAGACCCCCTCTATAGAAATGGAAATGATGGGACCTGAACACAGTAAATCCCCCAGGTTTTAATTATAGCCAAATGATAAGAACTGATTTTTAAAAATGTTTTAAGATTTGCAAAGTGCTTTCATGACTTATCTCATTTGAGCCTCACAAGGACTCTTTGGGAATATTATTATCCCTATTTTACAGATGACAAGATGGAGGCCAGAAGAGGCTAGGTCAAGGGTGGGGAACCTGTGGCCTAGAGGCCACGTGTGGCCGTCTAGATCCTTAGGGATTTGTTCTGTGAAGGATTCAGCCAAAGAACCTCACTTGAGGACCTCAAGGTCATAGGTTTGCCCCTGGTCACAGAAGTAGGAAGTACGGAGGTGGAATTTGGGGTTGGCTTTCCCAACTCTAAACCTAATACTTTATCCACTATGTTACTCTGTAGTAGCTAGGCCCTAACCATGGGGAACGTCATGATTTATGCTTTTAGCTAACTCTATACTTTGGGTTCAGAACCCCTGGAATTATCCCCCAAAGCTGTAGGTCAAATAAAGAGCCCTTAGCAGCTAAAAGAGAAGGCCCTGGGCTTTCTCCCCCCTTATTGTGCAGAGCTGAGGCTATAGGACTTGACCTTTCTCAGTTCTGATAGAGAGCTCCTAGTGATTACCTAAAGGCATCAGGGTAGTTTAGCAGAAAACCTAAGGATGTTCCAGTGGCTAAGAGCTCTGAGTCCTCCAGCTCCATCACTAATCTCAGTGAGACCCTAGGCAAGACACAATCTCTGAGCCTGGTTAGTCACCTATGAAATGAAGGCATTCAAGTGTTCTCTATTTTACTTCCAGACTGGCTACAGGTCTCTCACAAGATCCTGGCCTGTCCTTTTCCCCGGGTTTCATTTTAAACATTCAGCAAAGATCAATTATGACAATACCTACCATGTGCAGAACCCTGGGCTAGGTTTTGAGGGAGATACTAAGTTTAGATCGGACAGAGTCTTTACTCTAGTGCAGTTTACATTCCGGGGAGCAGGAGGGGGCGTTAGTTAAGTGGCGCAGTAAGGAGTGGTGCTAATAGCTGTGACTTGTTTCCCCAAACTCTGTCTGAAAATTTTCTGAATGAGCTCAGTTGAATGCTTTTCTCCAAAATCTAGTGAGGTATTCAAGGCTTAAGCTAGAGCAATTCAGAATAAGCAAGCTTTCTCTTGCATTGATGAGGCTGGAAAAGTGGCCTTTGACTGAAGTCGTGAGACATAGCTTTGCAAATTCATTTCCCTTAACAGGCACATGCAAAAAGTTTGTAGCGATTTGTACATGGCAGCAGGTGATAACTCAACCATTTCTTTCTTTCTCCAACAAAGTAGATGACTCTATGAAGCCCTTCTTGGGCCAACTGACAATGCAGGAAACGGCTCACGGGAACAGATGTGATGGAAGATTTCTCAGAAAACAAAAATCAGAAATAAAATAATGCCATAGCAGAATCACGTGGTTACTGGCTTACGTCTCAGGAACTGATATCAATCTCTCAGCCTTTAATTCCACTTGCAAAAGATTATAAATTATGGTTACAGGTAGGCAAAACATCTTCATCAGGGCTGCAACCAGAGAACAACCCAAAGACCTCTCTACTTAGGTACTTTCTATTAGTAGAAATGGGCAAGGGGTGAAATCTGATTATTTGGCACGGAGGAATGTCTACATTTTCTCTGTAAGCCTTTAAATTCCTGGATAGAACAGTAATGTACCGGAGGGTACCATAGGTTTCTCTAGGAATCTCAGTAGGTTATTTCAACAGAAATTTTTCCTGAAAATAGTGCCACGAACCCCAGGTAGGACCTGGTCATAATACCATAAAATCTTAGCTGTGATTAGGGGTCAACCTTATCTGGAGTCTGGGGGATGGACCGGGTTATTTAATTGTTCTTATACTTTTTTGGTGTGCAGACTACTTCAGCAGAGCGCAGGGCTTTGTGGGCTACCAACTTTCACCAGAATTAAATGGCATAGCTTTTGTTGAGTGAGAACCTGTAAGGGATATCACAAGTAAATTATAAATTCATTCTGGAAACAGAAGTATAGACATGGTCAGATTACAAACATTAACACCAGGGGACACCAGCCTGCCGATCACCTGGAGAATCTTCCAATCACACTTCTCACACTAGTAGGCCAAATGACCCGTCAAGGTGCCCGGAACCCTATGATTCTGTTTGGCCAATCTTACCTCAGGTCCCACAGCCACAGAGAAAGAAAAAAGGTGAGATGCCCTCCTATATAAGGGCTTGCTGACTCCAATAAACAAGTAGAACCTCGAGCCCTCTTGAAGAAGGCAGGGGAAAGAGGAGTTTGATTCATTTCTTAATTAGTAGTGGAGAATCACAGGATGGTTCTGTTTTTTCATATCTCTTTATAAAGTATGTTCCTTCAACAGAGGAGGATGAGGAATTGAACCTCACACAGAAGTTAGGGAAAACCCCCAGCTCCCTTGCTGAGACAAACAGCCCAGCAGAAACAAAGAGGAAAGTTCTCTTGGGCTCCACTGCCATCATGGGGCTGGTTAGGTTAGCTTATGTTCCATTTTCCTGCTTACTATTAACCATTTTCCCAAACTTGGTTTCCCTCATTGTAGCCTTTTCTTTGCCTATAAGTCTACTGTAAGAGGAAGGATGTAATGACTTTTACTCAGATTATTCTTCCTCTGTCTCTTTTCTCCCTCAGATTCCTAATCCCTTAGAAATTGCACTTAATCCCATTTCTGGCTTCTGGCTTTTCCTTGCCATTGTGGTAACTGACTCCTTTTCCTGAGGGCCTGTGATCTTGTGGTTCTGAACTTTAGAGAATGTTTGGGGGGCTCAGGCATGAGCTATCAAGAAAAATCCAAGGTTGTATAAGGTGTCTTTATTTGGAATTTTCCAGCTGCTCCTCCAAAGTCACTTAACACCATTAATTGCACTCACTGAGCTTTATATGCTGCATGGAGCTATAATAGTCTACAAAAGACACATAGTCCCTACTTTCCATGGTCTTACAGACTGAGTCAAAGCCAGAGGATCAGCAATCCCTTCTATGGCTAATTTTGAAATGACTAGATTAGGGGCAGCTCAGGAGATCCTGAGTTCAAATTTGGCCTCAGACTTGACACTTACTAGCTGTGTGACCCTGGGCAAGTCACTTAACCCTGATTGCCTCACCAAAAAAGAAAAAGAAAAAGAAATTACTAGATTAAGTACTTAAATATGTCACAACCATATAGGGATTGTTGGGATGCACAAGATGAAAGGGACCAAAATCTGGAAAAGAGAAAACAGTTCAGGGCGGGGCCATCAGGTCTAGCGCATCTCCCCACTTCCACTGATGGGAAGGCTGGTTTTGGTTTGCACTTTGATTTGTGCATAGACAATGGGGTCCAATTCTTCATGCTGGTTTTGGGTAAAGCAGACTCTGTTTTCTCCTGAATCTTTGAGAGACATGTCAGCACAGGTAAGGGCCTCCTCAGCAGTGGGGCAACACTGTTGAGAAGACATAGAATAGAAGAAGTGAGTGAGATGAAGAGTTGGGAGCCATTGGAGCAAAACCTGTCCAAGGAAGCGGGACATTAGGTCGGCAGGAACCAGAAGTCTGGAAAGCTTTGGATTGAAGGGTTAAGGGCCATGTAAAGGCATCAGAAAGAGTCCTTCTCAGAGTCCTTTCTCTTAGCTTCCCAGAAAGCCCAAGGTGCTCCTGCTTCTGGTGCTAAAAAGTCCAGATGAAGTGTTAAGGCTCAAATGATCTTAAACTTGCTCATTCCATGCAGTAAATAAAGGCATTTTGGCTCAATGTCCTCTAAATGCAGAATTCTCTTACCGTGTGGGAAGGGTCTGAGGCCAGGGGAATTGCCTGGGAGCCGCTGGTTGGATCTGTCAGAAGATCAAAGAGAAAGAGGGACAGACCTCACAAACTGGGCCTGGAGAAAGAAGAAGCTATCTTCCCTACTTAGGGGCTCTGGTGGGAGAGGTTGGGAACAGGAATCTCCAATCCTGAGGTAGTGGTGAAGAGAGATAAGGCAGTGTGGTTTTGGTTTTTTTTTCCAATAATTCACTCACTAAAAAAAGCAATGGAGTGCTTAGTTTAGTATATATGCCATATATTGCTGTATACTGGTGATAGAAAGGCAAAAGCGAAGTGCCTGCTTTCAAGGAGCTGACTTTATAATGGAGACTCCATGCCAGCAACTATATGCACGTAAGTTATACACAGGGTAAATGGAGGTACAAAGGGGAGGAACTAGTGGTCAGGATGGTAAAAGCCTCTTAAGGAAGGTGAGGTCTGAGTCTTAAAGGAAGCCAGGTCAGCTAGAAGGTAAGACTGGGGTGGCACAGCATTCCAGCCAGTGATGAGGTGCAGAGATGGGGGATGGAATGTTCTATGTGAAGAATAACATGAAGGTCGATGTCATTGGATCATAAAATATAAAAAGACTGGAAAGCTAGGAAGAGGCCAGCTTGTGAAGGGATTAAAAAGCCAAATGGAGGAATTTGTTTGATCCTGGAAGTAACAAGGAACCACTGGAGTTGTGGGGTGGGGGTGTCTGTGACATGGCTTTAGGAAGATCACTTTACAAGTGCTTCTCTATAGAGAAGAGTCCTTGAACCTCTTTTAGGGACCACTTACGTTTGGAACAGCTCTTCTTGATGACGAAGATGATGGCAGTGACCAGAAGCGTCAGAAGGACCCCAGCAACAAATGCCATAAGTAAGTAAGGGTATATTCTGTTTTGGCAAAGGGGGGGATAAATGAGCCCTTTGAAATCCAAACCAGAATGTAGCCTTGTTTTACTATAAGAACACTCACAAAATATAAACATTATTTACTGAATTTATCCTTGTCACCCCAATCTTATCTCTCCTAGCCATCACTGAATCAAAGGCATAAATTGTTAAAGTTCAAGTCAACAAGCATTAAATTCATACCACCCCTGTACTAAGCCCTGGGGATACAAATACTAGAGAGACAGTCCCTGCCCTCAAGGAGCTTACATTCTAATGGAGGAAGACAACATATGAAAATTGCGTGGTAGAGAAGGTCTGGAGAGCTAATAAAATTTCAATATCCCTTTCCTCTCAGAGCTATTATCTCCCAACACAAAACCAAAAACATCCTTGACCCCAGGTAAAGAGGGTCAGAGATCAACTTACTTCTCGAGAGCAATTGGGCAATCTGGTATACCAGCGTGTGTGGCTTCTGTTGATGTGCTGTATGGTTCTTCTACAATGGAATACAAATATATGTTAGGGAGCCCTTTGTCCAGTGAGGAGCTCCATTGTACCTCAGAAGATGGCTACAGGTGAAGACTTAATGCAAGTGGAATTGGGAATTAGATCAGTAGGGACTCTCAAATTCTTGACTAGCTATGAAAACAAACAAGAACATCTTTAAGAGACAGAACACCACAGTAGAGAGTACACTAGTCTTAGGAAGCCCTTGGATGCCAATTCTGCCCCAGACACTTACTATGGCCCTGGCCAGGACATTTAAGCTCTCTCAGCCTCAATTTCCTCATCTGTAAAATGGGGATAATAATACCTGTCTTAGAGGGCTGTTGGGATCAAATGAGAAGTGAGTGAAGAATTATAAGCCACAAAGTGCTATATAAATGTCAGCTATTATGTTTAAAATTTACAAGCATTAAGTGGGGAAACAGACAAAAACAAAAAAAATTCCTTTCCTCAAGGAGCTTACATTCTACTTTCATATAGCATCTGTGCAAATAAGTAAGGGCATGTAGTTTAGGTTTTGATATTGCCCTGTATCTTTCACCTTGGCTGACACAGGAAAAGGAGAAAGAATCGTGTATATGTATGTGTTTGTGTATATATAAATATATACACATATATATATACACACATATATATAATATAGTGTGTGAATGTACATGTGTTTGAATATTGTGTATATATGGGTATATATATATATATATATATACATTTATACACACATATGCATATCCACCAAAGGCTACTGCAATCAATTCTTACTGGCACCAATATGTATCCCCTCACTCTGAACTACGATCGTTCATCAGTCTTGGTTCTAGATGGACAAAATAGCTAATGGGTAACGTGGAGCATAGCATGATAAGGCCTTTGTGATTACATACTCCCAACTGGCCTTTATCCCATCCTCTCCCACCTTCTCCAGAGGTTTGCTCCATTGATCATCGTCCCCCTCCTCCCCGACTCTTCAAAATCTTCAATCTTTTTTATCCAATACCTTCTTCCCTACTGTGTACAAATGTGCCTAGATCTCCCCTAGCCTTTAAAAAAAAGTACCCCATGGCCCTGTTAGCCTCTCAAGCTATCATCCTCTCTTTCACTGCCAAACTCCTAGAAAAAGCTGTCTGTCTTTGTCGCCTCCACCTCACCTTCCGTTTCTCAACTTCGATCTGGCTTCCAAGGCTGCCAATGCTAAAACCAGCGGCCTCTCCTCAGTCCCCATCCTCCCTGACCATCCTCTACTCCTGGATTCTTTCTTCTACCTGGGTTTTCGTTATACTGCCCTCTCCTAGTTCTTTCTGTCTGTCTGACTGCTTCTAAGTTCCCTTTTCTGGGTCATCATCAAGGCATCACTCTCTAACTGTGGAGACCAAAACAGACCCTGTTATCTCTTATCCCCCAACCCATCCCTCATCCCAGCTTCCCTATCGAGGGAAACACTATCATCCTAATCATCCAAGTTGAGACTGTCACCCTTGACTGCTCGCTCTCACCCATCTTGTCCAGTTCTTTGTTGTGCCTTCACAATATTTTTGGAGGCATCTACCCTTTCTATCTCCATTCCCACAAAGTCCACTCTGCTCATTAGTTGGAATAGTACAATAGCTGCCTCACCCTGTTCACCCTGCCTCGGGTCTCCAATCCATTTTCCATACATACAGTCACCAAAGTGGTTTTCCTGATTTGCACCTACCTTCTCAATACATTCTAGGGGCTCTCTGCAACCTCCAGAATCAAATACAGGGTGTCCCAGAAGTCTTAGAGCTTTATCACTATTAAAGTTTAAAACTGCACCAAGACTTCTGGGACTCCCTCTCTGAACTCTTTGGTAGGTAAAGCTCTTTACCACCTGGCCCCCTCCTGCCTGCCTGCCTCTCCTTGCTGTTCTCACAGTGCTCCAAATCCCTTCTCTCTGCCGCTTGTGCCGGCTGACCCATATGCCTGAAATTTCCTCCCTCCTCAATGCCACCTCTTGGAATTTCTGGGTTCCTTTAAGACTCGGCTCAAAGCCCTTTGTGTGGGAGGCCCCCCTGTCCCCCAGGGGCTAGTGCCTTCCGTCGCAGGTTACCTTTACTGTACATGCTTCTATGTGTACAGCCTGTCTCCTGTTAGATTGTAAACTTTGAGGAGAGGGGCTGTTGTTGCTTGTATCTCTAGCACTTAGAAGAGATTCAGAGCGATGTGTTCCTGGCACAGGGCAAGCATTTAATAAACACTCATTGGGGCAGCTAGGTGGTGCAGTGGATAGACCACAGGCCCTAAAGTCAGGAGGACCTGAGTTCAAATCCGACCTCAGACCAAACACTTGACACTTACTAGCTGTGTGACCCTGGGCAAGTCACTTAACCCCAATTGCCTTTAAAAAAAAATTAAATAAATGAATACTTATTGATTGACTAAAGGACTCTGTCCTGGTTCCTTTTCTTTCCAAGCTCTTTTAGACAGACTTCATCAGCACCTAGAGGCTGTCAATTCCCTCCATTTAGAGGACTCCCGAATCTATACATCCTCCCCAATCTTATCGCCTGAATACTAATACTGCATTACCGGATGTCTCATAAGCATCTCAAATTCTCCATGTCCAAAACTGCTCCCTCCCTCCTCCAAACTTCCCTATTTCTGTCATGGAATCATTATTCTTTCACAGTAGGGAAGAAGGTATTGGATAAAAAAGATTGAAGATTTTTAAAGGGTTGAGAAGGAGGGGGACCATGACCAACAGGACAAACCTCTGGAGAAGGTGGGAGAGGGTGGGATAAAGGCCAGTTGGGAGTATGTAATCACAAAGGCCTTATCATGCTATGCTCCACGTTACCCATTAGCTATTTTGTCCATCTAGAACCAAGACTGCAACCTCAGAATCAGTCACCTTTGACTCCTCCCTTCCCCCCACCCCTCTATGTCCGTTTGCCCAGTCCTGTCAATTCTATCTCCCCAGGGCTCTCCCTTCTGTCCTTTTCTGTTTATTCATACTCCATCATTTTAGTGCAGGCCCTCATCACTCCTTGCCTGGACTTATGGCATGAGCCTCCCAAATGGTCTTCCTGCCTCCAGCCTCATTCTGCTCCAATCCACCCTCCACACAGGTGCCAAAATGTGTCTAAAAGAACACACAGGATTGTCCTGCTCCCCTGCCCAAGATGCTTCTGTGGATCCTGGGATAGAATACAGCCTCTTGTCTGTCAATCAGAGACCCTCACAACCTCTCTTTCTAGAGCGATTGCACGTGACTCCCCCTCACGTGCTCTGTATTCCAGCCAAATTGACCTACCTACTTTTCCGTGTGTTTGCACAGGCTGGAATGCTTTTCCCCCTACCTCAGACAATCCCTAGCTTTAGCTCAGCTTACCTTTTGCCTCCAATAACAGGTCCTTTTCTGATTTCCACATTTGTAGTGTTCTCTCTCTCTCTCTCTCTCTTTCTCTCTCTCTCTTTCTCTCTCTCTCTCCCTCTCCCTCTCTCTGACCCTGGCTCTGATTCTCTCTGTCTCTGGTTGTCTCTCTTTCTCTAATTCTCTATCTCTCTCCACTGCAACCCCACCCTGACAGTTACTTTGTATTTACTCAGCATCTATTCTGTATACATTTCTCTAAGTACGTTTTGTTTCTCCCCAGTAGAATGTAAGCTTTTGACAGCAGGGACTATTTCATTTTTGTCTTTGTATTCCAAAAAGGTAATATAATGCCTGTCCCATAGGAGGTGCTAAAAAAATGCTTATTAAATTGAACTGAATGTAGTCAACTCTCAATTATCTGCAGAAATAGAATGACATGATGTAGATAAGACAAAAAGAACAAATAATTGTAATCGAATTGCAATATAGGATTTTTTTCTTTTTGGTTAGGGAGAGGAACAGTAGATGTGCATTCCTAATATGGTTTTATTTAGTTAATAATCAAGTTGAATATAATAATAGTGATAAATAATTAAAAATAATAAAGGTGACTTTCCTAAGTCTAGTAACAAAACCAGGACTAAGTTCAGAGAATTATGGGACATTAGAGTTGGAAGCTAAAAAAAAAAAAAATCACCTGGTCCAACCCCCTCATTTTACAGATGAGGAAATGTTTGAGGTTGTGGGCTCATAGATCACCAATTTAAAGATGGAACAGCCTGCAGAAGCCACCTAGTGCAACCCACTGTTTTTTTAGTCTTGAAAACTGAGGAAACTCATGGAAACTTGTTTTACAGCCATGAAACCAGAGAGAGATGGTAAGTGATTTGTTCAAGTTGATAACAACCAGTAAGTGGCCAAGCCAGGATTCAAACCTAGGTCTTCTGAGTTTATATGGGAATGTAATGGACCATAAGAACCAAGGCTAGGGTTCTCTCTACCCCATCCGCCTCAATTTCTAGCTCATTTTTCGTTTCTGCTAGACTACAGGTCCTTAAGCTTTTGCATCAAGAATCCCTTTGGCAGCTTGTTGAAGTCTATGGATTACCCAGAATTACTCAGAATAATGTTTTTAAATGCACAAAATAGGTAGAATTAAAAAAAGAAACCAAATGAAATATAGTTAACAAGATGTTAAAAAAAAAAAAGAAAAGAAAACTAATTCCTGGACCCCCTGTGCTAGACTGACTGCCTATTCCCATCCTTTTCTATAATTCTTGCCCTTAACCTACTGAGAACTGAGGACATGTGACATGTCACTTCCAAAGGCTAAAGTTCCTATTTAGTAGGCAGGGTTATTTGTATTGCATGAGCACTATTTGACAGTAGGAGAAGAAGATATAGCAGTTACAGGAGAAAACACCTATTCTGAAAATATTCCCCCTACCCCGCCCCACACATACGAATTAACCAGAAAACCTGTGACCACTCAAGGCAGCGGGGCGGGGGGGGGGGGCACCAAATGAACTATCCCCTAGATCTCCTCTAGCTGTTCCATCAGTGAGAACAGGAACCATCCCATATTCACAGGCCAAGGGCAGCGTCACTCTCATTTCCCTCTTTTCATCTCTTAGGGCTATAGTGAAACTATTTTCACATCTGCAGGGATGGGATGATCAGTGGTTTCCCATTATGCTACTCAAGCACTTGTTCAAAGCATAGCCCATTAAATTAGAAGAGCCCAGGCTCTTCCAAGAGGCTCATGCTAAGGGCTGACTGAAAAAGACAGTGTGGTTGCAAGTCCAGAACTTACCAGTGCTTGTCATTGGTTTGGAGGGACTTGATCCCATTTTTTTATTCCTCTGAGGCAAAAAAAAAAAAAGACAAGGTAAAAACTTGGCAGGTAGAGATCTTCTGAGTTGCCTGTGTCTGAGATTGTATGCAAGAATCATAGAATCAAACCTGTCTTTTGAGAGCTGAAAAAAACCTTAAGGAAGATCTAGCCCAACTCCCTCATTTTGCAGATGATGTATTTGAAGAGCAATGACTTGACCCAGGTCATGCAGCTATTACATGCTTTTGAAACCTCAGTGTTATCCCAGACTTTCTTTTTTCTTGCTTACTCCACACATCCAATCAGTTGCCAAATCTTGGAATTTTTTTCTCTTCAATATCATGTACACATATATGTATGTGCATGTATACATGCATATATACACACATGTATATATGCATGTGTATATGTGTGTCTGCATACACACATATATACTCATCTCTTTCCACTCACAAAACTACCATGCCAGTTGGACCCTTATCACCTCTTGCTTGGGCCATTGCTATAGCTGCTAATGGATTCCTCTCTCCACTACAAATCCATCCTCAACACAGCTACTAGTGATTTTCCTAACATGAGGATGTGTGTGACCATGTCACTACCTCCAACAGGCCCCTACTCAATAAACTCCAGTGGCTCCCCATTACCTCTAGGATTAAATATAAATTCCTCTGTTGAAACTCAAGGGACAGATTAATAAAATTGAAAGCAGGAAAACTATTGAACTAATAAGTAAGACTAAGAGATGGTTTTATAAAAATAAAATAAAATAAAATAAATAAACCTTTGGTTAATTTAATTTAAAAAAAAGATGAAAACCAAATTACCAATATCAAAAATGAAAAGGGTAAATTCATCAACAATGAAGAGGAAATTAAAGCAATAATTAGGAGCTATTTTGTCCAACTGTATGTCAATAAATCTAACAATCTAAGTGAAATGGATGAATATTTATAAAAATATAAATTGCCCAGATTAACAGAAGAGGAAATAAAATACTTAAATAACTCCACTTTAGAAAAAGAAATTGAACCCGCCATCAATGAACTACCTAAGAAAAAATCAGGTGGCCAGATTGATATACAAGTGAATTCTACCAAACACTTAAAAAACAATTAATTCCAATACTATATAAACTATTTGGAAAAATAGGTGAAGAAGGAGTCCTACCAAATTCCTTTTATGACACAGATATGGTGCTGATACCTAAACCAGGAAGAGCCAAAACAGAGAAAGAAAATTATAGACCAATTTCCCTGATGAATATTGACGTAAAAATTTTAAATAAAATATTAGAAAAGAGATTACAGCAATTTATTACTAGGATAATACAATATGACCAGGTGGGATTTATATCAGGAATGCAGGGATGGTTCAATAACAGGAAACTATTATCATAATTGATCATATCAACAAGAAAACCAACAGAAATCATACAATTAACTCAATAGATGCAAAAAAAAAGGCTTTTGACAAAATATAGCACCCATTCCTATTAAAAACACTAGAGAGCATAGGAATAGGAGCTTTCCTTAAAATGACAAGTAGGATCTATCTAAAACCGTCAGAAAGCATTGTCTGTAATGGGGATAAGCTAGAAGCCTTCCCAATAAGATTGGGGGTGAAACAAGGATGCCCCTTGTCACCGCTATTTTTCAATATTGTACTAGAAATTTTAGCTTTAGCAATAAGAAAAAGAAATGGAAGGATTTAGAATAGGCAATGAGTAGACAAAACTATCACTCTGTGCAGATGATATGATGGTATACTTAGAGAATCCTAGTGAATCAACTAAAAAACTTCTTGAAATAATTAACAACTTTAGCAAAGTTGCAGGATATAAAATAAACCTACACAAATCATCAGCATTTCTACATTTTACTAACAAAGCCCAGCAGCAAGAAAATAATTGTAGATAATATAAAATATTTGGGAGTCTACTTGCCAAGACAAACCCAGAAACTATACGAACACAGTTACAAAACACTTTTCACACAAATAAAGTAAGATCTAAACAATTGGAAAAATATCAATTACTCATGGGTAGCTGAGTTAATATAATAAAAATGACAATTCTACCTAAATTAATTTACTTATTCAGTGCCATACCAATCAAACTACCAAAAATTATTTTATAGAGCTAGAAAAAAATAATAAGGTTCATCTGGAAGAACAAAAGTTCAAGAATATCAAGGGAATTAATGAAAAAAAATGCAAAGAAGGTGGTCTAGCTGTACCAGATCTAAAACTATATTATAAAGCAGCAATCATCAAAATTATTTGGTACTGGCTAAGAAATAGAGTGGTGGACCAGTGGAATAGATTAGGTACACAAGATACAGTAGTGAATGACTGTAGTAATCTACTGTTTGATAAACCCAAAGACTCCAGCTTCTGGATAAGAACTCACTATTTGACAAAAACTACTGGGAAAACTGGAAAGTAGTATGGCAGAAACTAGGCATAGACCAACATCCTACACCTTCTATCAAGGTAAGGTCAAAATGGGTACATGATTAAGACACAAAGGGTAATACCATAAGCAAATTAGGAGAGCAAGGAATAGTTTACTTGTCAGATCTATGGAGAAGGGAAGAATTTATGACCAAACGAGATAGAGAACATTATGAAATGCAAAATGGATAATTTTAATTACATTAAATTAAAAAGGTTTTGCACAAACAAAACCAACACAACCAGGATTAGAAGGAAAACAGAAAGACTGGAAACAATTTTTACAGCAAATGTTTCTGATAAAGACCTCATGTCTCAAATATATGTAGAGAACTGAGTCAAATTTATAAGAATACGAGTCACTCTCCAATTGCTAAATGGTATGAATAGGCAGTTTTCAGATGAAGAAATTAAAGCCATCTATAGTCATATAAAAATGCTCAAAATTGCTATTGATTAGAGAAATGCAAATTAAAATAACTTTCTTCTTTCACAACATGACCAATGTGGAATTATGTTTCCATGATTGCACATGTATAACCTATATCAGATTGCTTGCCATCTTGAGGAGGAGAGAGGAAAAAAAAATTGAAGCTCAAAATCTTATAAAAATGAATGTTGAAGACTACATGCAATTGGAAAAAATAAAATAACTATTTACAAATATATATACATATACACATATACATATGTACATATGTATATTCCTCTGTTTAGCATTTAAGACTCTTCACAACTTGGCCCTTTCCTACTTTTCCAACTGTTTAACCCATTATTCTGCACTATGCCCTCTATGGTCCACTGGACCACTCACTGTTTTTCACAAACCACACTGTGTCTCTGTACTGGCTATCCCCCTTCTTCCTTTCCTCCAACTCTTAGACTCCCTGGCTCCCCTCAGGACTCAGTTGAAGTGCTACCTTCTGTGGGAGACTTTTCCTAGACCCACCAGGTGCAAGTGCTTTCCCATCTGTGGCTTCCATCTACTCTGTATTTTGTATGTACAGATACAAGATGTGTGTGGTGTCTCTCTTTTTAGAATGCAAGCTCCGTAGAGGCAGAGGACTGATTTTACTGTTGCTTTGTGTTTGTAGCACTCAGCAGAATGCCTGGCACAAAGCAGATGATTAATACATGTTTGTTGATTCATTGATTGGTTTAACATTGTCCCTGTGAAATAAATTTAAAGCCACTGAACTCATTCTCTGAAGTCATAAAAAAGGAGAAAATCATGTGGTTCCCCTGGGAGCTTGTTTCTTACTTATGCACACAGAGAAAAAGGAGGAAACAATTGAAAATTAATTTCAAAACCCCAAATATTTGACAAAATCAAAGCATGGATAAAGTGAAATATACCTTAAAACAATTTTTGTTTGACTAAATCCTGGAGTGCTTCAGTTACACCAACTTTACCCTTCAGGACGATGTTATTTCCCAACCATTTAAAGAGAACCTCTTCCTAAAAAAAAAACCAAAAAATATATAAACAGGCAAGATTTTACCACTTAAATGAACAGAAAGGTTACTTAGCTGATGATTTCTTTAGGAGAACAATTTCTTTTAGACTAATGAAGAAAGAAGTATAAAAAATGAGTTTACCTTAGAAGCAAAACTCTGGTAAGATGACTGAAAAAAGGTTGGACTGCCTGTTTTACTTGTTTCCTTTTTAGGGACTCAGCTCATTTTTGCAACAGTGATGAAATATTGTAGTTAAACCACCAATCAAACTAGCCGACCACTCACTACGAAGCTTGCATACATGTTCAGTGGCAGACTTCTTCTTACAAGTAAGTCACAGAGAGGGTGCTGTCAAGTGGCTTTGTTTCATAAGTAGGGCTTCTTACTGAATCATTTTGGTCCTTAAATGCCCCAATAGTCACTTGTCAATCTGACTTGAAACAGGAACAGAAAAGAAGAATAGAAAAGGACCATTGTATTATTCAGCCAAGTGTTTATTGAATGTCTGAGCAGCATGGTGCAGTGGGAGAACCACTGGGATTAGGGTCAGGTGACCCTGGTTTTGATCCTGGTTCTGCCATTTATTGTCTGTGTGACTGTGGGTAAATTGCCTTCCTGCTCAGTGCCTCAGTTTCCTCATCTGTAAAACATAGGCCTTGCACTAGGCCACGGGTTCTATAAAACTTGGACTCAATCAAAAGGATGCACCCCAGGACCTAGAGGGCCACATGTGGCCTCGAGGCCCTGGATTAGGCGATTTCTAATATCCCCTCTGTCTCTAACTCCACCAGCTGATGATCCTACTTTGTTTTCAGCCAATCAAGGGATACAGAAATAAGACATGATCCCTGCTTTGAGAACCCTTAGGAGCCAATTCAATTTAATTCAGGAAGCATTGTGCATAGGCACTGGTGATTCAAAGACAAAAGCGAACCCAATTCTTGTCCTCAATTCCAGTGAGGGAAGGAAAACAACATGGCCACAGATTAGTAAATACGTAATTAGTAAATTAGTAAACACAAAAGGCAGAAAAATGTACGGTCCTGGAGGGCAGGGGCTGTTTTCATTTTTGTCTCTCTCTCCCCATCGCTTTCTTTCTCTCTCTCCCCATCCTTTTCTTACCCTAGTGCCTGGTACAAGGTGAGAAATTACTGAAGACTGAGGAGGATCAGAGAAGCCTTGAAGAGAACTAGGGATTTTGAGAAGTAGAATGTAAGCACCAGGAGGGCAGGATTAGGGGACCAGGGTCTATGAGGGCTCCTCTATATACAGTCCGTGGCACACAGTAACAGATTAATGCTTGTTGATTGACTGAAGAGGTGAGGATGGGAGAAGTGTGAGCATTTCTCATATGAAGATAGCCTCTGCAAAGACATGGAGACAGCAAGAAAGCCAGCTTTTTTCTTTTTTTTTTTTAATGTAAAGAAGAGAGGTATTTCTCACTTTTCTTCTAGGCCGTACTTGGTCGTTACAATGACAACATTTAGGATTTTTGGCTGCCATTCTTTCCATTTAAAATATTGCAATAATGTATATTGTTTTCCTTGGTTCTGCTTACTTAACTGCATCACTTCATATAACTCTCCCCATTCTCTGAATTCTTCACACTCATCATTCCTTATATTGTAGTAGTGATCCATTACATTCATGTATAATTTATTTAGCCATTCCCTAATCAATCTACTTTGTTTCTAGCTCTTTGCTACCACAAAAAGTGCCATGATGAATGTGGGCTATGGGACCTTCTGATCTTTGGGGTCCCTGGGTTGAAGAATGCAAGCATTTTATTCGTTTTTTAGTATAATTTCAAATTGCTTTCCAGAACATGGTAGATGAGAGGGAGAGAAATGTGAAGTCAGCCTGGAAAGACAGATGGGAGTCAATTATGAAGACATTTTGTGGTGGGAGTAATGCCTTAACACTGTCATACCCCACCCCACCCCACCCCTTAAATATAGACTGGTTTTTCCTTAGAACAAATTGAAACTGTGCTCAGGATTTAATTTGCTCAATTTAAAGGTCATGTGACCAACAAAATGGTGGACTAAACATTTTCTCCAAACCCCACTGATTCCAAAATCCACTAAAGAGGGAAGAGGCACCATTTAGAACACAGGTGAAACTAGAAGAAAAGAAAACATGAAACCCAACAAGGTAGCGGCCTTATGAATTAACATAGAAGAATGCTAAGCTCACTTGGTACCCCTCCCCAACCAGCTTCCATAATCAGACAGGGTCCTCAAACTGACTCATAAGCTTGTGTGTGTGTGTGTGTGTGTGTGTGTGTGTGTGTGTATTTTGAGCTTGCACTTTTATGAAACGTTTATTTAACAGATCAACCTTTCCCCCTCCCCCCTAAACTGGAGTTTCTTTTTGTTTCCATACTGTGTATGGGTAATGACAAAAACAGCTGCTGACAAAGCTGAACAGAACAAATTATTTCAAGAAAGTATAGCTAACAGCAGCTTTAGCTTTTTTTTCTCTTTCTAAAGGCATAATATAAATAAATACATGTATTTATAAAATATGTATATAAACATATACATATATACATATGTACAATGTATAGATACATCTATAATACATACATGTGATATGTATTACATACATCTACATCTACATCTACATATATATATAATACATATCACAACAATGGTTTAGACACACTAAATGGGTTCAAGTGTTCAAGTGAGATCTGACAACAGGCACACCCAGGAACCACAAAGTTGGGTTGAGCTGCTTCTGGGGCTCCCATTGCCCCATCTTCTGGCCACTGGTTGAGTCTTGAAGGAGAAACTTGCCTAATGCCAAGGAAAGGGACAGGAAGCAGTGCAAGGTCACGTCGGAAGGGTTGAGCACAGGCACCAGCAGGCAGGAAAGTGGAATCCATTAGACATTGCTCAGGGAGGACTTTGCCCTCTAGCAGCTGGCACCACCCCCAGTGCTTACACAGCTGACTTTGTCCTCAGTGTTCCATTTGGTACAGCAAGCAGTAGGATCCTCATCACTTCTGATAGTGATACAGCTCCTCTTGGTGGCCTCTGCCACATTGTTCATTAGCTCTTTGGTTCCTGGAACAAAGGCTTCCCACTCAAGTACTCCAATGGGTCCATTCCACACAATCTGTTTGGCCGGGTACCACAGCTCCCATGTACTTCTATCTGTTCTCAGGGCCACAGTCCAAATCCATCCACCCAGCAGGGATGCCAGGGGCCAATGTGACTTGTCCAGTCTTGGCATTCTTATCAAACTTGTCCACTGTAATGAAGTCAATAGACAAAGTGATCTTGACACCATTCTTCTCAGCCTTGGCCTTCAGATCTTTGACAATCTTGGCCCCCTCTTCACCAAAAAGAGAAGTTCTGATCTCCATGTTGTTGAGCACCTTGAGGAAGATGAAACCCATTCCACCGCCAATAATAAAGTCTCATTGATTTTATTGAGCACATTGTTGATCAACTGGATTTTGTCAGCAACTTTAGCTCCACCCAAGATGGCCAGGAAAGGCCTGTCTGGGATCTCCAGGGCCTTGACAAAATAAGTCAGCTCCTTTTTCATGAGGAAACCACATGTGTCCTGGGTCAGATCTACTCCCACTATAGAACCGTGGGTGTGGTGAGCAGTACCAAAAGCTTCATTGACATATACACCCCACCACTTGGAGAGGGATGCGTGGAAGGCTTCTACTTTGGCTGGCTTGGCTTTGATCTTGTTCCCAGAAGCATCTTTGCCTTTTCCTTCTTCTATATGGATGCAAAGATTCTCCAGCAAAATGAGAGACCTGTTAGGTGGGTTAGCACAGGCTTTCTCCACTGCTAGACCCACACAATCCTTCAGGAACAGAATACCTTTGCCCAGCAAGGATTTGAGCTCTGCAGCCATGGGCTCCAAGGAATGTTTGTCAGGCACAGGGATACCATCAGGTCAGCCTGTCATCAGAACAATGGGCTTGGCTCCATTATCCAAGAAGTAATCGATGCTAGGAAGAGTAGCCCTGACTCTCTGGTTGTTGGTTATATCTTTGTTTCTCATGGGAACATTAAAATCCACCCTCATGATGACCCTTATCTCCTTCAGGTCTGCCTTGTGCAAGGTCGGTTTGCTGGAAAGAGACATGTTGGCAGAGAGGAGATCAAGGGGTGGCTGCAACTGGAGCTTGGGCTGCCTAAGCGAGGGACTGCCCTGCACCCCAGGGTCAGCACCTACTGCACAGGCTTGTGTTTTGAGACCTACTCAGGGATTCTCTCCTCACTGCAGAGATTCTTCCAGAATGTCCCGTCCCCTGCCCATCCACCTGTCAGCTGTAACAAGCAAAAGACATTTACTCTGCTTTGCCACTGCAAGAGGGTAGGGAATGGGGGTAGAGGAGTGAATGTGGCTTCCTATTTGCCTAGGTTGCCCCTAGGTTAGGGATCCCCAAGCCTATACACAGTGTCTGTCTGGAAGCTCTGTCCAGACCATCCATTCCACCCTCCCCAAACCCTGTGAAAAGCAGCAGAAACTGACTTAGTTCAAGGCAAATAAAGAAAGAAACAAGAACCAGGAATGGGACTGGGAAGGAGTCCAATGTGAGCAGCTACATCAGGTCTGAAGGAAAGGGTACTGAAATCTAACTGGAGTCAGGCATAAATCCTAGAAGCTATTTAGGGCAGGTACCTGGGGGTATAATCACCTTCAGCTGATGAATCAGTAAGTGCCTACTGTATTCCAGGCACCAAGCTAAGCGCTAGGGATACAAAAAGAGGCAATAGATAGTCTCTGTTGTCAAACTTATAATTTAATAGGGGAGACAATATGCAAACAAATTGATACAAAGCAAGCTATCTACAGGATAAATAGAAAATAATGAATAGAAGGAAGGCACTGGAATTAAGAGAGGTTGGGACTTAAAGGAAGCCAGGGAGGTCAGTAGTTGGAGCAGAGGAGGAAGAGCACTCCAGTAACAGAGGACAGCCAGAGAGAATGCCCAGAGCTGAGAGATGGAGTGTCTTGTTCATGGAACAGCCAGGAGGCCAGTGTCACTAGATCAAAGAGTCTGTGTCAGGGGGTAAGGTGTCAGAAGAGGGGAAAGGAAGAAAGGGGCAGGTTATGAAAGAGATAATAGAAAGCCACTGGAATTTTGTATTTGATTCTGAAAGCAATAGGGAGTTACTGGCATTTACTGAGAAGAGGAGAGTGACGTGGTCAGACCTATGCTTTAGAAAATTCACTTTAGTGGCTGAATGAAGGATAGATTAGAATGGGGGGAGACTTCAGCAGGCTATTGCAATAACCAAGGTGTGAGGTGATGAGGGTGAGCCCCAGAGTGGTAGCTGTGTCAGAGGGGAGAAGCAGGGATGGTATTCGAAAGAAGT